GCGGGTTCAGCTTGCTCAGGACGAAGACTCGCAGCTGCTCGCTCTCCAGCAGCCGGCGCACCTTCTTCATGTTGAGCCAGCCGACGCCCTGGCCGTCCAGCACGCTGTGCACCACCTCCTTCAGGAACTGCTGGTTCTCGCTGGGGGGGCCACACACCACGTCTGTAGGCATCGTCTCCTTTGTGGCACCTCCCGCTCTCACCGGCCCGGCTGTTGGCCTCCAGGGGCAACAGTCAAAGCCACGATTCTGACGTCCGAGTCCACCGCACCCCCTTCTCCAGATAACCTGGTTTACACAAGTCCCCACCACGACGGCTGCACCCTTTTCAGTAAGTGTGTGCCGTCACTCCTACAGGGGGACTGGGAGCTGGCAAGGAACGACTTCCTCTGCCCTCCTGGGAGCTGTCTCCTGCTCTGAGCGTCCCCACAGTTTTGCACAGCAATCACTTCCTCTGCCCAAAACTTCAAAGCAGCTGCCCGGTATTACCTAGAATTGCTGGCTCGACCTTGGGGCGATGGAGGTTCTCTTTTCACCGTTGGGCTGTGCTTAATGACAGATGACTTCTGATCCACTAAGGCCCTCCTGTTCCCTACGGCAAGAAGGCAGGAATGAGAGACCTCAGGGTCGCCGTCCCAGAGCTGGTGTCACAGCCCTGGGTAGCCGTGTTCTGGGCCCGCTCCTGGACGGGCTGGGTGAGGGAGGCGCCAGGCATCACGCAGAGGTAGAAACCAGCCATGGCAATGTGGAGGAGGTGGGGATGGAGGCTCAGGCCACTCCACATGCACCACGCCCCACGGGCAAGCACAGGCGTCACGAGGGACGGGGCAAGGCAGGTCACATGTGTAACACCGCTTGCTCCATGAGGAGGATGGCCCTGAGGCAGGCACGAAGATGCTAGGAAGAAAAAGTTCATGCACAGCTCACGGGCAGGACCCACCTTCACCACTCCCGGGGCCGGCTTCAGTAACAATCTCCATTAGAGTATTTAGCCCAAATACTGGGACACAAAATACACAATTAGTAGGTGCACCGCGATACCGCAACCCCGGAGCCCCTCACGGAGCAGGGAGCCAGATCACCCGAGCATTCTCCAATGCCTGAACACCGCGCCCAGCCTTGGCTCTCAGGCACCTCCGAGCTGGAGCCAAGCCGCCAGGAGGCGACCAAGGCGCTGAGAGAGACCACCCTTAAGATCGGCCTTCAAAGCCAGGGGCAGTAAACGTGTGCGGAGCCTTCAGGTGCTAAAGGGGCACATGCGTGAAAAATGGCTGCTGGTATTCACGGACATCTAGCACGAGGTCCAGAGCGCCTGCGGCATGCACAGGGAAGAGACCCACCGCGCAGATGCTGTCATGGGAAGGGGGCGGGGCCGGAGGGTGGGAAGGGGTGCGAGGGGAAAGTGCAGCAGATGAGGTGAAGCATCGATATGCAATGCAGTGGTGCCACTGCGCTGCTCTCCGATGCAGCCGATGAAAGCCAGTGCCGCCCCCTACCCGGCCTGCGCTGCCCCTTGAGGAGTCACTAGGCTGCACCCCTAGCTCTGATGTCATTTTGCTCATCTGTCCCGTTTCCATCCCCACTGAGGAACCTCTCTTAGATTCCTATGTTTGTAATCACTGGGAAGGGGAGTCGGTTAACGGACACAGCCACACAGGTTGTGTTGTCGCATGGGATGCACGGGTCTGGTTTCAAACCAACCGGAAGTGCCGGGCGCAGCTAAACACACCTGTGCTCCTGGCTAACTGGGACGATGGAGCAGGAGGATCACATCACCATACCTTGTCAAAAATACCTATGTCTTAGGACCAGCAGTTAGCATAATGGCTATGTCTCTGGACTCCCATGTAGTCAACCGTGGCTCGAGTCCCAGACCTGGCAGCTTAAACTCACGCCGGGCGCATGTGTGTGTGGGTCCAAAATCCCAAGAGAAGAATGGAGGAAGAAGGGATTGTAGCATGGCCATTCCCTCTGGGGGGGTGATTTCTCGCTTTCTGTCTGTCTCTCTCTGTCTTTCTGGCGAGCGTATGTGCCCAGTAGCAAAAACCTCTCCAAAAAAAAAAACCTACATCTTGCTCTATTTCCTTCTCGCACTCTCTCTCATAAAGAAAAACAAGAGGATACACATAAAGTTGCTTCTCACTGTACTTCTACTGTAATTTAAGTACTTCAGAACAATATCCTCAAAAAAAAGTCAAATAAAATTCAGAAGAATCCCCTCACACTGTTGGAAGTCTCAAATGAAATTCGAGTAAGCAGCAGTTAGTGTAATGGCTATGTCGCTGGCCTCCCACATAGTCGACTGCAGTTCGTGTCCCAGACTCGGTGGCTTAAAACTCACGCCGGGTACGTGTACATGCGGGCCCAAGATCCCGGGAGGAGAATGGAGGAGAAGGGATGGTGGCGTGACCATCCTCCTTGGGGGGTGATTTCTCGCTTTCTGTCTCTATGTCTCTCTCTGTCTGTCTGGCCCCCAAAAAAAAAAAAAAAAAAAATTCAAGTAAAGCCCTAACTGCCCCTAGAAGCCAAATGATTTTTTTTTGAAAAATTATTTTATTTAACTTTATTATTTTTTTTTTATTCTAATTTGATAAAATAGGGACAGAGAAAAAGAGAGAGAGATGGAAAGTGAGAAAGCAAGCTGCTGGGTCCAGGACTCGAACCACAGTCGGCCATGTGGGAATCCAGTGCACCATCCGCCAGACCTGAAGCCAAACAATACTACCTGGCCTGGTGACAAACCTCAAGCTGACAGGAAGTCATGGCAGGAGGCAGGGCTCTGTCACACTGCAGGCCCCCCACAATCGCTCCAGGGGGCCAGTTCCTTGGGGTGGAGCTCCCCTAAGCTCATGCAGTGGGGACCTGGCAGGTGACTGAGGGCAGCTGGTAATCTTGGTGTTAATCCAAGATTAACAAACCCCAGCAGCAGCAGAAGGCCCACCATTGTTACTACCCTACATGACACAACGGGACCTTGTCGAGATGCAAAGACGGTTTCCACCTGACGACCGTCACAAGCCACGATGCAGCGAAAGCAATGAGAAGCGCGAGGAGGGGCAATAGCCGGACCAGACGACTGGGCACCCACGGGGCCCCGGACCTGCCCCGAAGGCCAGAACAGCTCCTGCAGAACCCTGGTTTGGTAAAAGGAGGGCTGTAGTTACCTTTCAGACTGGGGAAGGGCGTGGTCTTCTCTCGGACACCTTTGGTGGGCAGCGTGAGGTTTGAAAGGCTGAAGCTCGTGCTGTGGTTCCGATACAGGCTGCCTATCCCGGGGAAGGTGTGAGAACAGGGTTAGCGGGGTAAACAGCGAAGCACTGTTCTCCGGTGACTCCTTCGAACATGACCCAGTTTGGTAGCTCAGATAGTCCCTCTGTATCTTAGAAAATATCAAGTCAAACTTGGGGCGAAGAAGCCGTAATCGGGACTGCGTCGAAGCCAGCAACAGCTTTCCCTGACTCCCTCTCATGGTAACGTCCACGCCTCTCAGCCACGCCAGCACAGCGTGGGGGTGCGCAGTGAACGTGGCTCTGGTCCGGTCCCTCCCTGACTCCCTCTCGTGGTAACGTCCACGCCTCTCAGCCACACCGGCACAGCGTGGGGGTGCGTGGTGAACGTGGCTCTGGTCCGGTCCCTCCCTGGCTTCTGAAAACACCCACAACCACAATGATTGCATGTCAGCGCTCTGTCTCTAGCCTGCCTCTCGTCTGTAAGTGATACCACCCCTCACTGATAGAAATACCCTCTAAACACAAAACCCAATCTCACCAATTTCAAAGCATGTTCATGAAAAAGTCCCTCACTGGGCACAGAAGGGATCAGATATACACTCATACCAAATTTTTTTTTTTTTTTTGGAGGTTTTTGCTATAGGGCTCATGTGCTCACCAGAAAGACAGAGAGAGACAGAGAAATAGAAAGTGAGAAATCACCCCCTGGGAGGGTGGCCACACTGCAATCCCTTCTCCTCCATTCTCCTCACAGGATCTTGGGCACGCACACACACACCCAGCGTGAGTTTAAGCCACTGGGTCTGGGACTCGAACTATGGTCAACTACATGGGAGTCCAGCGACCCAGCCATTACGCCAACTGCTGGTCCCCCACCCATACTAAATTTGACCAGAAGAGTTCCACAAAATATACTGGGGCCAGCAGACAGTGTAGCGGTTTCATCACTGGAGTCCCACATAGGGGACTACAGTTTGAGTCCCAGACCCAGCGACTTTAAAATCATGCTGGGTGTGTGTGCATGTGTGCCCAAGATTCCAGAAGGAGAATGGGGGAAAATGGATTGTAGTGTGGCCATCTCCCCTGGGGGATGACTTCTCACTTTCCCTCTCACTGTCTCTGTCTCTCTGGTAAGCGCACACACCCAGAGACAAGACCTCTCAAAAAAAAAAAAAAAAAAGGGAGACCAGCAGTTGGCAAAAGGGCTATGT